GACTGCGCATGTTACAGTCTAATTAACTTTTGCGTCGTCATTTATTTCCTCAAGATAAACTACCGGCTCCTCAAATGGATTAACACAGTGTTGTAATCTCTTTAGTTTTCTCTGGTCAGAAATGGAGACTTGAATTTAACGCGCCATTTCAACCAAAGGTTTGTAATGCGCTTCCTAACCAGACGCTCCAAAGCGTCCGGTCCATAACTTCAACACGCTGTCAGCTCCCGGTCAGAAAGACGCATTTAGTTCAGAGTCCATGAGATGATATTCAGAAAGGATTTTTTAAATTAATTGATTTCAGTTGCCTCTGAGACTAAATCTGTGATTTGTTGTAATTATTTGTTTGCTCACCTTTAAACACTGATTTAAATATTGTAATTTTTAAACTGAGCAGTAATTTTACATCCATGGAAACTCAAATGTAATATTTAAAACTTCAATACATAAAATCAGTTATTTAACAATATGAGGTGGTGTTTAATCTTTTTTTAACATTGTATTTTCATACATTTATGCTATGGGAGCTACCATCTGCAGCTTTAGATACATTCCTTCTCTAACACACCTGGATCATTGACTCATTATAAGCCTCTACAGAACTGAATGAGGGAAGTCAACCTTTTGTCTGGGGTGTGTTTTAGCAGGGATGCACTCCTGATCTGTAACGTCAATGTGGCCCGTTGAGGGTGGCCAATATGCTGAAGTGGCCCTCGGTGAAATTGAGTTTGACACCCCTGCTCTAGAACCTGCAAGATTAGAGTTGTGTTTTTAAATGTTATTTTATCAATCAACTCAGCAGTTTTGTCTGTATAGATGAAGGTGAAAACATGTTTAATATTAGTTAATTTTCCGAAGGACCTCATCGAATGCAGAGACAGGTTTTTAGTAATATTTTTAGCAGTTTGTTAAATAGTTTTATCAATGCTTTCTGTCACAGCTGGCCCTTTAAAGACATTCCTGATCTTGATTTAACTTAAAATGAAAATGAGTTTGACACCCTGAAGATGCCCCTGGCTCAGTGACTATGTCTTTAGCTGTATATTTTACCAGAAAAAATCCATTCATGGAGCGATTGTTAATTTTAACAACATAAAAGTTTTTTGTTTTGTTTTGTTTTTTTCATAGAAAGTATGCCTGCCCAGGGACTTGATGTTTAGTGTTAGACAGATCCATTACCAGTCAAACCACTTTTGGTTGCTAATCTACATATATTAAAGTTAAACACTACAATCTCACTTAAAGAGGATTGGACACACTTCTTGTCACTCTTGTCATCAGAAATAAAAATGTTTGGCAGGTTTTATTTTTGCTACACTTAGTTTCAAATGAAACCAAGTAGAGTACTGACAGCCCCCTGTGGGTATATTTTTATTATAAATCTGCAGACCTAATGCAGTCATATGACTAAATAATTGTTGAAATGGTAAATGAATTGTACTTACAGCGCTTTGCAAAAGTATCCATATCCACTGAACTTTGCATTTTGTCATGTTGCAACGTCAAACCTTAACATATTTTAGTTCATATGTAAAGTGAAAAGAAATGTGAAAGTTTTTCCGAATTAAAACCGGTAAAATGTTGTGAACACATGCGTTCAATCCCATTTGCTACTCCAAAATAAAATCCTATGCAGCTAATCCAATCCAAATTTGAGATTAATCTCAGAAATATTCTAGAAAAAACATGAAAATTTCAATTTCTAAAAAAAATAAGTAAATAATATTTTAGATGGGGTTTTTTCTAGAAAATTTCTGAGATTAATCTCAGAATTTTTCATATTTTCGTCAATAATTTTCTCTTCCTTTATTTTTCTATCCACAATGGCCTTATATTGTCGTCATAATAGATAAATACCCCAAAATACTTGCAGCTGTTGCACAAAAAAGTCTTTCTAAAAAGCTCAGACTCTTGAGAGTGAGTACAAACTTGTGTACATGTACCGTTTGTTTGTTTTTTTCTAATTTGTAAATGCTGTAAACACCCAGTAGAGTTTCAGACAATCATCCAACCTTATTGCTAATATTTTTCATTAGATCTCAGATTTATTTATTTTGCAGTAAAAAAAAAAAAAAAAAAAAGGCCATTTTAAAATTTTGTGGCTTTTTTTTTGTTTTTTTTTTTTGTCTCCCTTACTTGAGGATGACCAGGCCGCAGCAGGAGGGCGGCACCTTGGAGCAGAGGTCCTCCAAGACCAGCCTCTCCCCGGTGCTGATGCTGAAGGAGGAGCGAGGCGTGCTGGCCAGCCAGCTGTAATCCACCCCGGTCTTCAACCGCCGGTACTCGTTCTCCCTCTCCCTCTGCAGCCGCTCCGCCTCCTTCAGCTGCCAGCTGAACTCCAGCATCAGGGTGTCGGAGACGACGTCGGCCGGGTCCCTGCGGGGGCTCCGCTGGTACGGCTCATTCCAGTTGAACCAGGAGGCCATGGCCCTCTGCCCTCCGTCACCGTCTCCTGCAGGATAAAAATGATGGAAAGTTACCACCTACATGGTTTATTCTCTTATTGGCAACAAATAAATGCTTTTTCTCTTCTCTTTTTTTTTAACTCTTGGAAAATCTGTAGCATAAAAGTTACAGTTCTGATTTGCTTTTCACCAATCTCAACTAATTATTTTTGAAGGAGTCGAGATACAAAAAAAACACCCTAAAGTTAAGTTTTAGGGTGTTCTTATTGGTGAACTATTTTCATGAAATCTTATATAAACCTTATAAAAGTTAAAATAACCAAAATCATTGTTGTTTAATAAAAAACTAAAGTAATTACTGAACAAAACGGCTTTGCATATTCTGTATAACTAACTGATTATTCCATCTCTGACATACTGTGTGGAAGTAGTACCTGAAAACATGCATAGATTAGATTTTTCTTTTAGATTAACAATGTGTGAATGTAGCAAAAAAGTGCTTTGACACGATAAAGAACTATGCAAGTACAAAAATATTACCATTTCTGAGTTAAATAGCTAATTTTCTTTTGATGTGAATAGGGATCATAGATATTATAAACTTATTCTTCTTTCTGCTCCTTTTCATTCAGGATTTCTTTTAGTTGTTCCATAAACTAGTTATATTTATTGTTGAGTGAATGAAATAAAAGATCAAATGAAAATGTTTTTAGGAGTTTACTATAATCAGATTTACAACTGTTGTTTTTACAGCTATTGGCTGCAACAAAACCACACAAAAAAAAACAGAATATCTGTGACTTAATTTGTCATAAGCAAATCAAAACTTTTGTAGCTCTGTACTGTTAAAGTGATGGTTGCTCTCATACATTAAGGCCGTGTTTACTACGGTAAAATTAGGTCAAACGTTGCTGCCGGAATTTTGCAGTAAATTATACAATTTGTTTTTGTAACACTGCAGAGAAACGCGTTCTCCAACCCAGAATATGATTTTATTCATGCAAAACACTTTTTTTTTCTTTTTTTTTTAGCTCTTGCACCTTTTTTTTAAACACATTTTCCTGGTAGAATTTTTTTCTTGCACGGCATTAAGTGATGAACACCATGCAGAGCAGTACAGGCATTTACTCCTGAACCACTTCTCATGAAGGTCTTAGTGAATTAGAAAACTGTTATCTCAGATTTAATACTCCTCATATTAGGCAGTTTTGATGCTAGCTGAGGATTCCTGCAAGATCTGTTAAGACAAAAGGACAATAATCACCAAGAAAATTGCATCTCTATTATAAAAATCTGCCTGCTGCTTTTATTAGAAGAGTGATTTCAACTCAAAGCTTCACCTCTGCATGATACAACTGAAATGAAGTTAGATGTTTTAATGCCTAGACACTTTTTTAAAAAAATGCTAATGTAGAGCATGAATTGGCTTATAACATTTTTAAAAATTTAAATTTAAAAAAATAATAAAATCTCCTGTGACTGGAAAATTGTTTTGGCACAAATCATTTAAACCTATAAGCAATTTTGTTGGTGTTTTTCCTTTATTATCATTGCTCTAATTAACAGAATTCCCTTTATATGAATTTTAATCGTCTGACCAAAGTTCAACATCCTCCTTTTTATCCTCCAGCCTCTTTTTCTTCAACAGGTGTCGTATCTGCTTACAGCCATAATCAATCCTTTCAATCGGGACTCTTTTGTTAGCGCAGGAAGTAAATAAATAAAAACTGGAGTGCAGGCAGCTGATTGATGTGTAATGACTGAGATGAAAGCTTTAATCAGGTGCTACAATCACGTTGCTGCTCAATGTTGCTGCAGCCTCTGATTATTCTCTGTGATGGAAAAGGGGGGGGGGGGCAGTAGAGGTTTGAGTAATCTCTCCTGTTTTTAGGCATGAATAAGTCCCAGCACTTAGAATATAAAGTTTCTCTATTGTTTCCATGAATTTTCAATGTAATCCAAAGACATAAACAAAACTCCTGGGTGTGTTTCCCTAAAGCCTGTCCTCCTCTCCTCCTGTCATGCTCATGCTGTCGTCTAAACCACAGCTGCTCTTCACGCTTCACTCTGCTGCATTTTTTTTTTAGGCCAGATTATCCTCAACATGCTCAGCTAGAAGGTTTCCAATCAGACGAGGTGAGATTAGTGCTGCGGCCGCAGATTTAGCAGAGAGGTGACTTGACCTGTAAACATGGCGTCAGATCATCAGATGCCATGTTGTCTTTTTGTTTCAATTCATTTGAAAATCTGGACCAAACACTGTCCAGCATCTCTACGGTGATTTATGTAAGTTTTTCAGCAAAAGTCTAAGAATCTGAAAGGATCTTCTTTCATTGTTCTGCGATTTGTTTACTCACATTTTATACATGCATCTAAAAGGATGGCAAGAAGATCACCAAACATTATAAAACATGTACAAAAAATTTAATTTAATAGCAAAACATATGCACTTTTGAGGAAACGAAACTTTTTGTCTTCATTGTCAAGCTTTATATTTTCTTGCAAATTAGAAAAATAGTGATTCTTTCTCTTAGTTGCCGCTAAAATATTTTAGCAAACAAGTAAATAAATAATTCAATTTAGTCTACTATATAGTGCCATTTCAAAACAAAGAACTTAGCAAAAAAAATTATTTCAATTCAATCAGTTATCATACAGTACACAATTTTTCCCTCTTTTATTTTATTTTTTGCTTTATTTAAAATCATCTTCTAGCAGTTTTTCTAGTTTTCATTCTGTCCGTTAATGTGCAACAAGTAAAATTATAATAATATTTTGAATTGCAAGCGGCACATTATCCAATACTGAGGCAACTAATCAAATCTTGCAACCTTTTTTCAAATTCTTCTTTTTCAACATCAAAAAAATTCAGTAAGTAAATATAAATAAGGGAATTTAATTTATCAGCCCATCCATCTTGAGCAATTACTGCAAATATTTACTTTTTCAGATTTTTCTCTTTCTAGCTAAAAATAAAATAAAACTACAGCACCAAACTGGAAATGGGCGAGTTTTCATAAAACTGTCCTGTTTTACTTTTCATTAAAAGAAAGAAAATATCTTGTAAATCTTGAAATGGAAAATCAACTTTCTGTTTTTTTTTTTTTCTTGTCTTTTCTTTTCTTACCGTTGATTCTTGTTCTCAGGTTTGCTGTCCGGCTCCAGTGGGAATAAAATCACAGAGGGAAAAAAGTGCAAAAGTCGTCGGACATCAGAGAGGCGGCTTGCATGGACAGTCTAAATGAAAACCAGAGACAGAAGAGAGATGCTCTGTCTCTCTTCTCTCTCAGCGTTATCTCCACCTCTCTGAGCCTTCCTCTTCCTCCTCCTCTTCTTCCTCTTCCCAGGAGCCTCTCTGGCCTGCCGTTACTTGTTGCAGGAGGTTGAGGGCACCATCTCCAAGGGGAGGCATCGGATCACGGCCCCTGATGAAGTGCTTATGCAGCTTTTTATGATTCGCCGTTGCCATAGCAAAGCTCCTAAGCCTATTTGTCCGTGATAAGCTCCATCAGCTGCAAGGGAGCTGGAGAGCGATGAAGAGGCAGATAGCGAGAGAACAGAGTGGGTTGAGCGGTGAGATGGACAGAAATCAAAGAAATGTTGCTCTGAGGATGGAGTGAATGAACTGATGGTGGTTCAGTTCGCTGGTTTAGCAGCGAAAGGTCACCACGCGTGAACTGACGAGCATCGGCGGTACACGTGGTTTTACAGCAGGGTCAGAAATGTGTGAGCCGCTTCAGGAAATGTGTGTGTGTGCGTGATGCAAATAATCGAATCCAATTCTGAATGTGCAGTTGATGTGTGGGTGGATTTCAAGGTTTTGTTGCTTTATTCTTGCGTGTAGGTGGGAGTAGCTAACCTCAGTCGCTTTCTCTCTTTCTTTTTTACTTTCAGCACATTTTCACTGTAACCTGAAAAATCCGAATCAAGTCCTTTCCACAGCAAACCTCCTCTTCTTCTTTCTCGCTGGGTGACCTCTGAATTCTGGGCAGCCACGAGAAACGCTGAAAACATCCAGCTTCACAGTAAAAAAATAAAATAAAATAAAAAATGTTTCCGATTGCACAATAAAGATCTAATGCGTAACGCTGTTGTTGTTTTTTTTCCTGACTGAGCCTCATCTGAGGAAAAAGGTCAAAGACTCAAAAGTTATCAGTGTCTTAGAAATGCAGTCAGGCAAAAATACAACATTCACCGTAGTTGGTGATCATAAGACTTGTTTCCTTTCTTTCTAGTCCTGCACTTCAGTGGATAAACCTACATCTGAATTTGCTCAGAAGCAGGAACATAAACATGAAAATATTCATAAGAATGTTTTATATTTACTTGAAGCTCATTAAATCTTCGAATAGGTTAGTTAGATGTTTTATACCCACACTTATGGTGGGTGAGAGAAGGTTTCCTGTGGCAGTAAATTTATTTCATTTACACAGTTCACTAAATGAAACACATTGCGTAGATTAATTACAAACCAACCGATGAGTTCAAGCCTTTATTTATGTTAACTAAGATGATTTTTCTTTAGAATACAGCTAATGAAAACTGAACGTTCAAGATTAGATTTAAAAATAATGTACTTCTTTTGATACAGAAATGTTTATCACCTCTATGTATATATGAGAGAGAAAGAAACCTCACTGCACATACGGAAATTTTAAACATAGTTCCTACCAGAATTGCTATTTATTCTGTTTACAAACTACCAAAGTAATAAACTACAGAATTAACTACAGTTACTGTTGTTCTTCTGTTACTTTTGGAGTAACAGCTTCCTTCTAGTCCATGTTAGCATTTGTTTCATTGCGAATAATGAAACTCTTACACCAGCCGCAAGGTCATTTGTTTTCATCAGAAGTTTATCAAGCCACGACATCAGGAATAGTCATCTTGAAATCATTTTGAAATTAATTCTTGGGGGGAAAATATTTATTAATTTACTTCAGAGTTGAGCTAATAGTAAAACTTTTGGCAATCCAAAAGTTTAGTCTAATTTCATGTCAAGTTGTGCATGGAAACATCTGGTTTCAGTTGTAAATATAAATAATCTGACATTGAATCAGATTTGATTCTGAAGTGCAATAAGTTTGTGACAAATCTGTTGTGTCTGCTAAAAGTGAATGATATGGAGAAGCAGCAGAAAGCTGCCTGAAGGTGACAGATGGCCAGGTAAGCAGCCTCTGTAATCCAAACAGATGACAGTCTTAATCCTCTAAAGTGATTCCCTCCATCAGCGGCATGCTGCAATGGGGATGGGGGGGGTCTCTGCAGTGCGTCACCAGCACTGATGTTATTCCAGAGTTTTGTCAGATTGGCTACGTGATAAGATCCATGTCTCTGCTCCTCCTCGCATGATCGCATGTTTATCACCTTCACTGTATGTGTGAATTGGATTATCAGCAAAGCAGAAAGTGCTGAGGCGGAAGATTTCTGGTTTTCTTTTCATCCCTGGAAAACAGAAAACAGCATCTGATATTAATTCATCATGGCGTGAAGTCCCAATTTTAGATATAAGGATTAAGGCACATTATTAAAATGTTATGTTATTATTTCTCTTCGAGTCTGGGTCTGGGTTAAACTATCTCTAGTTGAAAGTAATTCACATTTAAACTGGGAGGAATTCGACTGGGATGTTTTCCAGTCAACTTAGAGCACAATGTAAAACTTGTGAGACCTTTCTAATTTATGTTTTTGTTGTTAAAGCGGGGGGGGAAAGAATCATTGTAAATGTCAATGACATATTTTACATTCATTAATAACATCTGTCTTTCTGCGAAATAGAAAAAAAGTTTGTTGTTTTGCAGTGTGTGTGTGTGTGTGTGTGGTGTGAGGAGTGGGATTTGGGCACAGAAGAACCATTTGTGTAAGCATCACCTCTAATGGTTTGCATTGTTAAGATCTTATTCTCGGTTTTGAAGACTATTTAACAAAAAGATTTAGAAAAGAAGTTTTGTTCTACCTCTGAACATTCTGACATAATGTTATGTACCCTATAGAGCACATAACACCAGTTTTAAAGTCCCTGCACTGGCTCCCTGTAGCTCAGAGGATAGACTTTAAAATA